TCAGTTCACACACCTGTCACATTATCTGATGTGATTAAATTTGAACGTCTTATAAAAAGGAAAGTTGTTGTTTTTTACAGACCTTCACCGGACGCAGCACTGACTAAATTTGAAACAGACTTCTCAGACCGTAGCAGGGCGGTTTTTCTGTTTTTAATGAACGATCGTTTTTATGGGGTAAAAAATATAAAAGGTTTCCTAGGTGTGAACAACTTTTGCTATTTCTGCTTCACATAATTTGAAAATCGTCACACGCACCGATGTGAAGGCTTCTGCGGGCTGTGTAATCACGCCTCATGCGTTCAGCACGAAACAGAACCGGTTAAATGTCACCTGTGTAACAGAACCTGTCGCAATGCAACCCGTTTTCAGAATCATCTGATCCCCATAGAAAGACCCGTGGTTAAGAAATTGGTCAGTCAGTGTCARCTTTACAAGAAATGTCTTGRTTGTAATCTGATTTATCGAGTCCCGTTAACGGGACACGCTGAAAGTCACAAATGCGCTTCCCGAAAATGCCCGATCTGTTGTGAAAAGCTGGATCCAGGATGTGATGTAATTCAGGGCAATCACTTGTGTTACATCCAGCCCGCCTCGCGTGATAAAGATCTGCACAGTAAAATAATATTTTACGATTTTGAAACCTTTCTGAATTCGGAAATAATACATGTCCCGTTTCTAGTGTGCACAAAGAGTGTGACAGGAAACGTCTGGTGTTCCTACGGGCTGGATTGCATCAGAGACTTCCTCTTAAAATTCTGTAGACCTGTGTACAGCGGATACACGTTTATTGCGCACAACTCGTGTGGTTTCGATTCATACATCATTCTCGGCTGCATGACAGAGCTCGGTATTTCACCGAGCATCATTATGCAAGAAACGAAGGTTCTGTGTTTCACGGACCCTGATTACAATCTGAGATTTCAGGACAGCTTATCTTTTCTGACAATGAGACTGAGCGCATTTCCGCAAGCGTTGGGGTTCCCCGACTGCTCAAAAGGCTATTTTCCGCACAAATTCTCCTCTCTGGAACATTTAAATTACATGGGAGCGTTTCCGGCCGCGTCCCATTTCGATGTGGATAAAATGCCCCCTCCGGAGGTGCAGAAGTTCAATGCGTGGTACAGTCAAGCCAGTCAGAAATCATTCCATTTTGAAAGAGAGTCCATTTTTATTGTAAAAATGAYGTGGACATTCTGCAGAAAGGTTGTTTTATATTTAGACAGCAGTTTTTTTATGAGACTGGCGTGGACCCGTTCAAACAAATAACAATTGCGTCGGCGTGCATCAGAGTCTATCTGAGTAACTTTCTTAAGCCTTACACACTGGCCATTCCTAACCCCACGGACTACGTTCATCATAAAACGTTTTCAAACGTTTCCATTCAATGGCTGGAGTGGATCGCGTACAGCAGAAAAATACGTATTGAYCACGTGCTTAATGCGGGAGAGAAAAAAGTGGKAAAGTACTTTCTGGACGGTTTTGCACAGGTGGGAGGGGTGCACACTGCCTTTGAATTCCTGGGGTGTTTTTTTCACGGATGTCCAAAATGTTTTACGCCTCAGTCCGAGTGTCCGTTAAGACGCTTTCCGTTCGAAACGATCTATGAAGCCACGAATGAGAAACTGCGCACTTTAAAAAATGATCACAAGTTAAAAGTAGAAGTAATCTGGGAACACGAGTGGGAAAATATGAAAAAATAAGACCCTGCACCTGGGTGAGAGAGAGATGCTCTCACTACCCTCAGCAAGGACTTGACACTCCTTAGCGACACGACCACATACGAGCCGCTGAAGAGAGATCCAGGAAGWRGKTMCAAGAAGAAACTAATAGATTGCCTGAAAAGTTTAGAGCAGGACAAGGCTATTAATCGGATTCTGTATCATAGACTTTACCCAGGTGAGGCCACTCCTAGTCTGTATGGTCTACCCAAAATTCACAAACAGGATGTACCGGTAAGACCCATTGTCGGCATGATCAACTCTGTCACTTACAATGTTTCTAAATATCTGACCGGTAAGACCCATTGTCAGCATGATCAACTCTGTCACTTACAATGTTTCTAAATATCTGACGTCTATACTTGGTCCTTTGGTTGGCAGCTCAGAACATCACATACAGAACACTATGGACTTTGTGGACAAGGTGAGGGATGTCATCATGGAGACGGATGAAACTATGGTCTCTTTTGATGTTACATCGCTCTTCACGTGCGTTCCTGTTGATAAGGCAGATGTGTTTTGTGCAAGATTGAAATCAGACACCACTCTCAGCAGCAG